GCTCGGGTGATGGAGGAACTTGAGGGGCGAGGCTGATGCGCCGGAGGAGGAACGGAGTTGAAGGGCCCCCAGGGACTGGTGGAGGCGCTGGGGGAGAGGCGAGAAGCGGCGGTTGCAGAGGAGTGGGGGCTGGGGCGCAGTCCTGGGATCTGGGGAGCCCGGGGCGGAGTGGGCAGCCTGAAACACTTTGGGGCAGCGTGTGCTTAAGCGGGCTCCTGACCCGGTGGCGAGGTTGCCAGGGATGCCTACTTTATTTGAGCCTGGTGCTGGGGGGCCGAGGCCTGCCTCGCCCCATTTTCACCCTCTTCTACACCTTGCCCAGCCCTTGTCCACCTACCCTCGCTCCTCGTGGAGGCCGGGCTCTGGGGTTTCGGTGGCTGAGAATTTTATGGAGAGAAACTGCCCGCAGTGATGTCCAAACCATTCATTTAAAAGGCTGGTTGTGCAAGACGAGTCTCTCAGCATCGCCATCTGCAACTTTTATTTACTCCGCGGCCTCTTTGTAGTTTATCTCAAATAACTGGGATGGAGGTGCTAGGGGAGGATCTTCTTACGGAGATCCCTTTCTGGGGAAGGAGAAGGCCCTTTGCTGACCCCCTTCAGCTGAGAAGGGCAGGCGGGGGAGGAATGCCAGGCTGGCCTGTCCCAGATCAGTGAATGTTTTGAACTGGGTATATTCCTTCTGCGTTGTCACAGAGTTCGTGATCCTGGGAGGTCTTGGCAGGGAGACTGTTTTTTTTTTTTTCTTTAGAGAGATTTTTGCTGTGGTGTGAGTGTGCATGCCAGAGAGACAGACACGGAGAGACAAAAAGTGAGAAATCACCCCTCATGGGGGATGACCATGCCACAATTCCTTCATTCCTCTCTGGAATCTTGGGCACACACACACGCAATTGGCGTGAGTTTTAAGCTGCTGGGTCTGGGAGTCGAACTGCTGTTAACTATGTGGGAATCCAGGGACAGAACCATTGCACCATCCGCTGGTCTGGAGGGAGACATTTTGAATATCAGAAGAGGCATTCCTTCCATGCCCTCAAAATGATGAACAAAGATCTGGGTTTGGTCAATCAAAGCATTCAAAACCAGACATTTGTTTCATTTTGTACAAAACCTCTGTGGGTGTTTTATAGTTCTTCCCTTAGAAAGTTCTGGTAATGATGGGGCCAGCAGGTGGCGTGGTGGTTTAGGTGCTGGACATGCCCACATAGCTGACCATGGTTCTAGTCCTGGACCTGATGGCTTGCTTTCTCACTTTCCTTCATTCTGTATGTCTTTCTCTGGTCAAATTAAGATAAATGAATGAATGAATAAAATAAATACTTCTTTAAAAAAAGAAGGAAAAGAAAGTTCTGGTAATGACATCAGAAAATACGACATAAGGCAACCAGAATGATCAGTGAGATGAATGTGTCTCTGAAAGTGAGCGGGGCCAGAGCGGGAGAGAAATGGTGTGCTGAGATAGAGGGGCACTCAGGCAGGATGGCTGGAGAAGGCCAGGTCCCTGGCAGTGGTCCTTCTTTCAAGTTTGACACAAGACTTTCTAAGACAGGTGGGAAGAAGTTCTGCCTCATTCAGACTCAGATCCTCAAGTCACACAGGGCGGCCCTGCCTGACAAGTCACAGTCTTTGTGAGCCTCAGCTGCCCACCCCCAGCTCTGGCTTTTAAGTTTATTCATGAGAGAGGATGCTTGCATGCAGGGGAGAGAGAGGGGGACAGGCATCCCCAGCAGGGTCTTATGCCCTGATCCCCTCCTGTCAGCCCTCCACCTGATCAGGATCCTGGGCCAGCACGCCCCATGTATTAGGTCCTCAGGAAAGTCAGGATGTGTTTTTTTCTGTGTGTGTGTTTGTGTGTGTGTGTGTGTGTGTGTTTTTCCTATGCAAAAATGTGTCCTGACTTCCCCAGTAACCCAGTATTTTATATCAGTCATGGATCCAGACCTGTAGTTGGCATGTGGCTTCTAGTGCCGTGGTTCAGTAAGCTGTCACCTGTGCCACCCAGGCTGGGCCCTCGAGGAGCTCTTAATGTGAAGCTCCTGTACTTTTGTCTGTAACTTTTTTTTAGCGATTTTTGCTGTAGGGTGTGTGTGCTTGCCAGAGAGACAGAGAGAGAGAAAGAAAGAGAGAGAGAGAGAGAGAAAGAGAGAAATCACCCCCTCTGGGGGAATGGCCATGCTGCAATCTCTTCTCCATTCTTCTCTTGGAATTTTGGGCACATAGACACATGTGTCCAGCATGATTTTCAAGCCACTGGGTTTGGGACTCGAACCCCAGTCAACATTGTGGAAGTTCAGAGCCTTAACCACTGTGCCACCTACTGGCCCCACATAACTTTCTTCATGAAGTTGTGGAATGTCCAGGAAGGTGTGCCAGAGCATCACAGATAGTATTGATTGCCATTTTCCTTTTCAGGTTTCCAAGTCGGAAAGGTTGGCCATGTATACTGGTTCCCAATCTGTCCATCCGTACTCTGGGTACGGCAGCGCTTTTGTCAGAGCCAGGCTGAGAGCCGAGAGACTGTGGGTGTGGCCTCGATGGTCACAGTCCTGTCTTTGAAAGCTTGTTTTGGTTTTTGATTTGGATTGTGTGTTCTGGCAACTCATATGTGTTTCATCATTGATTCGTTGCAGTATTTCCTGTCAGGTAGCCTTTTCCTAGGAGCAGAGCCCGGCCTGAAGGTGCCGCCTGCCTGTGACATCATGTCAGGAGGTCTGTCCTCTTGTAGGGAACAGCTTTTTCACACTTTCGAAAGGGCTTTGTTCCTCTAGATCATTTACAAGTTGATTATTTGGAATGTGGAACACGTTTTCCCATAAAAGCAATGTGCTTGGGCTACCAGCTGGCCTGCAAAGCTTTTTATTTAGCATCTTCCTTAAAGTAGCAATTTTCTAATAGTAGGGACTTCAGTCTTGGTTCTGGGAACATGACTTGCAAGACTGCTGGGCGGAGGAAGAGTGCTCTGGCCTGTTTCTGGGGCCTCGGTTTGCTTTATGACTTAGACAGACGTTTGTTTTGTCCTTATCTTAGGTTCCCCATCAGCTCCTTAGGGCTCCAAGTCTACTGGAGCCCTACCTTTCCTTTTTTTAAAAATTTTTAAATTTTTATTTATTTATTCATTTATTTTAATTTGACGAGAGAGAGAGAGAGATGGAAAGTGAGATAGCAAGCCACCAGGTCCAGGACTGGAACCCTGGTCAGCTATATGGGAGTGTCCAGCGCCTTAACCACCATGCCACCTGCTGGTCCCGGCATTTACCTTTCCTTAAGACCTTTGCAGAAAGCTCTGTTCTCCCAAATGTCACATGTTCCAGAACTTTCTGAGGTCCCCTTTGCTTTTTCTCTGTGCCAGGCCATCGGACAGGTTTATACTACATTGTGAGTGACTGATAGTCCTTTACTTTTCCTTGAGAGTTTGCCTTTTTAAAGGAAATGCTTACTGGGACCAGCAGTTGGCGTAATGGCTATGTTGCTAGACTCTCATGTATTCGACCGTGGTCTGAGTCCCGGACCCGGTGACTTAGACTCATGCCAGGCATGTGCGCGTGTGTGCCCAAGATCCTGAGAGGAGAATGGAGAAGGGATTACGGTGTGGGCCATCCCCCTGGGGGGGTGATTTCTTGCTTTCTGTCTCTCTGTTTCTCTGGCGAGCGCACGCGCCCTATAGCAAAAAACCTCTCCCCCCCCCAAAAAAAAAAAAAAGAAATGCTTACTAATTTAACATATCTCCGATTGCAGATTAATTCCCATCGCTCCCTATCCCAAAACCCCTGAGGACAGGTGTGTTTTCAAATTCAGAGTTTTTCATGTTTCTGAAAGCAGTACCCCATAATCTAACAAAATTACTTAAGCCAAGTTGTAAGTGGGATACACAAAGCTTGGAAATGTCCTCATAGCGGTTTAAGTTTTATACCAGATGAACTTGTGACTTATGAAGAACCTGGGTTTCCAGAGTATTTTGGATTTTGGAATTACGAACAAGGGATTAAGGGGTTTGTATTTCCCAGTGACTCAAAGTGAAAGGGGTCCTGCAGTGTGGGGCAGGTGGTTTTGGCTGACGAGGCCACCTCTAGTAAGCTGTCAGCCTTAGTGTAAGGTCTGCCTCTGGGTCAGTGCGTGGAACTGCTCTGGGCTTTCCTTGCCCTACGCTTCTGGAAAATAGAGAAACTCAGGAACCAGCAGTTAGCATAATGGCTATGTCGCTGGACTCCCACGGAGTCGACCGTGGTTCATGTCCCGGACCCGGTGGCTTAAAACTCACGCCAGGCGCGTGTGCGTGCGTGCCCAAGATCCCGAGAGGAGAATGGAGGAGAAGGGATAGTGGCATGACCATCCCCCCGGGGGGTGATTTCTCACTTTCTGTCTCTATGTCTCTCTCTCTGTCTTTCTGGCGAGTGTACACGCCCTATAGCGAAAACCTCTCAAAAAGAAAAAATAGAGGGAACCAGCAGTTAGCGTAATGGCTATGTCGCTGGACTCCCACGTAGTCGACCGCGGTTCGTGTCCCAGACCCGGTGGCTTAAAACTCACGCCGGGCGCGTGTGCGTGTGTGCCCAAGATCCCGAGAGGAGAAGGGAAGAGAAGGGATTGCGGCGTGACCATCCCCCCTGGGGGGTGATTTCTCGCTTTCTGTCTCTATGTCTCTCTCTGTCTGTCTGGCGAGCGCACGCGCCCTACAGTGAAAATCTCTCCAAAAAAAAAAAAAAAGTTAAAAAAAAAATAGAGAAACTCCATTTAAAATCGTATGTGTATGCACTTTATTTTAAAAATACTGCAGATTGACTGTCTCTGATGTGAAATATGAAATGCTCCAAAATCTGAAAAATTTTGAGCATCAGCATGATGTTTCAGTGGAAAATTTCACACCTGACCTCACATGACAGGCCTCATGTGAGAATATTCTATAAAACTACTTTCAGGCTACATTTATAAGGTGGATATGAAACATAAATGATTCTTGGGATTGGGCTTAGGGCTCATTCTGTACGTGCAGGTATTCAAAATCTGAACAAGCTTCAAAATCCAAAACATTGCCTGTCTCAAGGGTCTCGGATAAGGGATATACAACTTGTATAGACTTCTTTTCATTTTATTTTATTTTAAAAAATTAATTAATTTTATTATTATTTGTTTTTGTTTGTTATAGGACATGTGTGCTTACCAGAGAGACAGAGAGAGAACGTGAGAGAGCAAACCACCAGATCTGGGACCTGAACTGCAGTTGGCCATGTGGTAGTTCAACACCTTAACCACCACACCATCCACTGCCCTGCTTTTTTTAAAAAGTACTGTATCAGCTAACTTAGAAAATGAAAATCCTAGTCCTCTCTCTCTCTTATTTTTAGGTTTACCCCCCATAGGGCATGTGTGGTTGTCAGAGACAGAGAGAGGGGGAAAGTGAGACATCACCCCCCAGGGGCCATGGCCACACCATAATACCTTCTCCTCCATTTTCCTCTCAAGATTTTGGACCAGCATGCACCTGTGTTGTTTAGGCCCACCAGTTCTAAGACTGGAACCACAGAGTCAGCCATATGGGATTCAGTACCTTAACCACCATGCTATCTATCTGCTGGCCCCCAGTCTCTGTCTCTCTTTTTCATTTAAATAATTATTTAATTTTATTTATTTATTCATTTATTTCATTTGACCAGAGAAAGACAGACACACAGAGAGAAGGAAAGTGAGAAAGCAAGCCACCAGTCTGGGACTCAAACCGTGGTCGGCCGTGTGGGAGTGTCCAGCACCTTAACCACCACGCCCTCAGTCTCTGTCTTTTGTCTTTTCTTTTTTTTTTGGATAGGTTTTTGCTATAGGGTGCATGCGCTCGCCAGACAGACAGAGAGAGACAGAGGGACAGAAAGCGAGAAATCACCCCCCAGGGAGGATGATCACGCCACAATCCCTTCTCCTCCATTCTCCTCTCAGGATCTTGGGCACACACATACACCCTCCCGGCGTGAGTTTAAGCCACCAGGTCCGGGACTTGAACCGTGGTCGACTACATGGGAGTCCAGCGACATAGCCATTATGCTAACTGCTGGTCCCAGTCTCTGTGTCTTAAAAAGAAAAGAAAAAAAAATCTTTATAAATCATATCCCCTAGAGACAAACAGTAATTTTGTTGCTTAAACATTAGGTTTTTTCCAGTACATGTATGTGTACACTAGTACATGTGTATGTGATATATATTTGTATGTTTAGTTGTTTTTACAAGAATGGAACTATATTACATATAAGAGTGTAATTTTCTTTTTTTTTTTTTTTAAATAACTAGGCTGTCTCTCCTATGTTGTAATACAGAGCTCATCCTTTTTTTCCCCGGGGCTGAGTGGGCTTGATCGGGCGGCGGCTCAGTCCTTGGCGGCTGCCTCGCGCATGGCGGCCAGCCCGTTGCTCAGCTCCTCGCGCTTCCTCTGGGCGCGGAGGTGCGTGCCCACCTGCTTCTTGAAGAACTTGAGCGCGCGCTTGTCCTTGGACACCTTGAGCAGCTCCATGGCACCGCTCGTAGGGGGCGAAGCCGCACACCTCCCGGATCATGTTGCCCACCAACTTGGTGTGCTTGGTGAGGCGCCCGCGGCGGCGGCTGTGCCTCAGCTTGCTCACGTTCTTGGTCACTTTGTGGCCCTTGTTGAGGCCCAGGGCCATGGGGTACCGAAGAGCCATGGCTGCGGCTCTCTAGTGACTACTGGGGCAAATGGCCTTATGAATTTTTAAATTCTCATTTTTTGATGCAGTAAGTACCTTTGTATATATTGTCTATTTCTTTCTTTCTTTGAGAGGTTTTTGTTATAGGGCGCGTGCGCTCACCAGAAATACAGAGAGAAACAGAGAGACAGAAAGAGGGAAATCACCCCCTAGGGGGGATGGCCACGCTGCCATCCTTTCTCCTCTGTTCTCCTCTTAGGATCTTGGGCACGCACACACATGCGCCCAACGTGAGTTTAAGCCACCGGGTCTGGCTACATGGGAGTCCAGCGACATAGCCATTATGCTAACTTCTGGTTCCTCATTGTCTGTTTCTGTGAGTGGATTCTTTTGACTTTGTAGGTAGAGACAGCTTTTACTTCAAAGCCTAGTGGTGAGTTGCCCCTTCAGGGTGAGGCCCTGCTAGCTAACCCTCAGGAGAGTCCCCGTTTCTCTGGCTCACACTGCTGCAGTGTTTGTAATCAGCCAGCCTTATCTAGGAAAGACTTCACGTGTTATTTACATATCTTTACTTTTTTTGCGGCTGGTAATTTTTTCAATTTTTTTTTGAGAGATTTTTGCTATAGGGCACGTGTGCTCGCCAGAAAGACAGAGAGAGACAGAGAGACAGAAAGCGAGAAACCACCCCCCGGGGGGAATGGCCACGCAACAATCCCTTCTCCTCCATTCTCCTCTTGGGATCTTGGGCACGCACACACATGCACCTGGTGTGAGTTTAATCATCGGGTCCGGGACTCGAACTGGGGTCGACTACATGGGAGTCCAGCGACATAGCCGTTGTTCCAACTGCTGGTCCCCAAATGTTTTTTATAATTTGTATTTTTTCCCCTTCTTCCAATTATCTGTATGTGTCTAAAAGGCCTTATTTTTAAACCTGGTCCTGTCTGGTTGGGGAGTGGGAGGTGAGGGTGTGGTTATTGAAGGGGTCACCAGTAGTGCTCTGCTCTGCTCCCCTGGCTTAGCAAGCCACGGCCCTGTCCTGGGAGAGCCATTCTGGCTTGTACCAGGGAGGGAGAGTGCGTGCACACACGCATGTGCTTGTGGACGCATGTATGTGTCTTGGAGGGAAGGATTCTGTTTAGCTAATTGTTTTTTTCATTTTCTTTGTCTAGACTCTTCAGAGGAGACCCCCCCTCCAGCCACTCAGAACTTCATCATTCCGAAGAAGGAGATTCACACAGTTCCCGACATGGGCAAGTGGAAGCGTTCTCAGGTACCAGCGCCGTCTGCACCTAGGGGCTGAACCGGGCTGAGAAACATGGACTTTTTCAGATGGTTCTCTAGGCGTGACCGGGACTGTGTACACCTGACCTTCTTGCTTTTGGAGCGGTGACAGGGGAGCTGGCTGTCCTGCCCCCTCAGAGACAGCGCCCACAGGTGCTTATCAGGAAGGTTTGGAGGCCGAGGCTGATGAACCGTGGTCCCGTATGCTGCTCTCCGTCGAGTGTGGTGGGACTGACTGAGGGCAGGTATCCCGAGTGATGGGTGCATCACAGTCATTCTGGGTTGCAGTGGCAGCAGGTGTGGGAGCCAGGAGCAGAGGGAAGGGAGGTCGTCTTTCAGACACCGAGGCCAGGGCTGTGGCCAAGCCCCAGACACCTGGGCCCTGGGCGTTGGAGCAGAGCACCTTTTCCTGTGCTCACCTGAGAGTGTGCAGGGATAACAGCCCGGAGCTCGCAGGCTTCTGCTATAGGCTGGGGGCAGTTGGACTGGGAAAAACAGCCTGTTTCAGGTTCTCAGGAAAAGCCCTGGCCCAGCTCCAGTCAGTGACCTACCCTGGTCTGCTCAGTGGGGACAGGGTGTTGTTCGTACAGGACGGGCACAGGGGCTCACACCCTTGGCAGCTTTGCTGTGAGGACTCCGCTGTGCCAGGACCGAGCGCAGACCTTACACTCCCGAGGTGCCCGTTGGGTTTGGGGGCCATCTGAATCTGTGCTGTCTTTCCTAAGCCTGTCCCCTAAATACTTGGATGTGAGTACCGTGTCTTCACTGAGTCTCACAGGATAAACACTGTAGTCCCTTAAGCTGTTTAAAGGACATCGTTGGAGTCTTTTCATCACCTTGGTTGCTCTACCTCAGAATTTCTTAATCTCAGTACCACTGACATTTGAGGGTAGATGAATCTTTGTGGGGGATGTCCTGTGTTTGGTAACACCTACACCCCTGGATGCCAGCAGCACCCCTTTCCCTAGTTGTCACAACCAGAAGTGTCCCCAGGTGCTGCCAGAGGGAACAAGGGTACCCCTTCTGAGAACCACTGCTCTGCTCCACATCTGCTTGTCTGTCTGAACCTAAGGATGACCCTGTCCCTTCCTCCCAGCCTCGCTTCCCAGTGCGCTCTGCAGGTGGGAGTGAGTGTGGATGCCAGCCCAGTCAGGACAAGGGCTCGGGCTGGCCTCGGGCCGGCCTCAGGCTGGCTGTGCTGGGTGAGCTGCTGCAGATGCCCCACCTGGCCTGCTGGGAGCTGCTGTGTACTGGGTACAGGGAGGCTCCTTTCTGGGCTCGCAGCAGTTTGCTCTCTGGCCTGGCTCAAGGCTTGCAGTGGACACCCTGGCATCTGCAAGCCTGAGCAAGAGTCACTCACTCCCAGAAGCTGCCTCTCCAGGATGCACACCTCAGGCAGACTGCACCCCAGAGGGTTATCACATTGCGGTCAGCTCCTAGTCACGGCTGCCCTGGGTCGTGGGCATCAACCTTCCTGGTACACGCAGGGAGGTCCGGGGACACAATCCCAGCACCTTTCCCGTGTGGATTCAGTTGCATTTTCACTGTGCCACCACATGGTCCCACTTCGGTGCTTGCTTATCCTGTGCTGGGTGTGATCTCTCTTCCCAGCGGGGAAGAGAGGGTCCCACTGGCAGTTGGTGATAGGTGTGCTGGGAGACCTGACTGTGGGCAGAAAACTCCTCATGGGAGCAGGGCATCTGTACTGCAGCCAGATAGTGTGGCTCGTCTGTGCCGAGGGAAGCATCTAGAAGGTAGATGGGGCTAGGACCCTTAGTGATAGCCCTTGCACTCCTGGGGGAGCACTCATCTTAAGAGTTAGGCCGACTAGGCCCAGCTCCCGTGTCTAGTGAAATCTTGGTTTTGGGAAACCTTGGACACGTCACTTCTCTGAAGGCTTAGTTTCGTCCTCTACCAAATGGGCTCCACAGCAGAGTCCACCTCATGGGGGTGTGTAAGGAGGCTGCTGGCAGCAGCAGAGAGCACGCAGTGAGTGCTGGCCAGAAGGCGGGGTGCTCTTCTGGGGACTGGCTTGCCAGTTCTTTGGAGAGGAGGGGTATTTGGCATTTTCTTTCCACTTCTGCTACTGGCTTGGGAGCCAGGGGCATCTTGGAGCAGTTTGGTAACAGGCGGAGCTGGGGCAGGTGGAGCCTGACACCCCTCTCCTCATCCGTGCTCTCCTCTCTGGTAGGCGTATGCTGACTACATCGGATTCATCCTCACCCTCAATGAAGGCGTGAAGGGGAAGAAGCTGACCTTCGAGTACAAAGTCTCTGAGGTAGGCACCGGCAGGGAACCTCTGCAACAGCCTTTCTGAAAATAGCTCCCAGCTCACGTGTGCCCTGAGCCCAGGTGGGCCGGCGCAGGAGACGTGGCAGCAGACACATGTGCAGCCTGCATTTTGGTGTCTGCATTGCTAATGTTTTACATCTATGAATAGGTGGATATTTATAAAATTGGGATCAAGGTAAATATGCTGTTTCTTAGCCTGCGTTTTTTGCTAACTGGTGTTTTTATGTAACTTGTGAAATTGAAGAAGATTCCAAAAGAAATAAGTAAGTTCACCTGGGGGTCACCAGTGGAAAGGGGTCCACCGTTGAGAAGGCTGCCCTCTCCCCGTCCTCCCTCACTCCCAGCTCCCAGGGCAGGTCTGTTGACAGTGCTCGTCCCAGGAGGCGTGAGCCCCTCCCTCCTGCAGGGCACACGACTGCCTCCCTGAGCCGTGGCCTGGCTTCGTTAGGCAGTCCCTGTGGGCTTTCAGTTGTACCCTGAACGTGGCTGCCCCGCATATCCCTGCACGTAGGTCTGTGGCTGTCCCCCAAGGGTTCCCGCCGGTAAGCACAGGGGCTGAGTCAGAGGGCACACTCAGACTTTGTTTTGGGGTCCATTAGGCCTGGAGGTTGCGCCGTGGATGCTGTTTCAGAGTCGACTTGCCTGTGCGGCAAGGGCCACCGCTGCCGGAGGTAGATAGGCGGGGGGGGGGGGGGGGGGGGGGGGGGGGGG